AGACTTGGGATCTTGTTGCAGTACCAAAAGGGGTGAAGCCAGTGGGATGCAAGTGGGTCTTTAAAAGAAAGGAGAGAATTCCTTGTGTTGAACCTGCTTGGTTCAAGGCGAGACTGGTGGCAAAAGGGTTTTCACAGAAAATAAAGTCAAAATTTTAAAAATAAAGATGAAAAAAAAGGGAAGACGAACATGTGTCAACGTATATAATACTATATATATTTTTTATTTTGTATTTTATATAAATAATTTGATAAGATTTTTTTTTATTGTTCCCCAGAAAATTTATATTAATTTCGATTTAATAAAAAAATTTAACTTTAAATTTGATTTATCTTTATTTACAATATTATTTATATTTAATGTTTTAAATTTTTTTCTTCACAAATTTTTAACTAAAAAATCAGGATCATCTCACTCTCACTGTGGTTCATACTTCTTTATGTTCCTATATTTATTATTAAGAATTGTTTCAAATACATATTGTATAGGGCTTTTAGATTTTTTTTTTTTTACTTCTCATTTATTTATTTATTTAATATGCATCTTTGATATATTTTGTAAATACTATATATTAATACTTTTATATGTATTATGCATATCTTCATTTAAAAGAAAAGTAAAATAAAAAATTAATTTATTTTTATTTAATACTCACTATTGTAAATTGTTTGAATATTTTAATATTTAAAGTAAATCGGCAAAAGATTTAGGCAAATTCCTTTAATAAAGTCGCTTCCCACCAATCTTTCACCGACAATGGAACAAATTTTACCATTGCTCCTTAACCCGATCAATAAATTTTTTCAACTCCTTGAAAACAGCACCAAGCATTCGCAAAACCACTAGAGATTCCCCGGATGAATCTTCTTCAACTTGCTCTTCGGTCTCTTGGATTGCTTCATCTTCACTTGCCTCAACCTCATGTTCCCAATCTTCACCCTCATCATCCGAAAAAAGTACATAGTCCCCATTGTCACAAAGCACAACAGTTCGCACATTAGGGCATGCATTGGCGTAGTGACATTTCCTTTTGGCACTTAAAGCATGCGACATCCTTTGTTTTGTTTGGTGAATCATCCTTGTTGACTTTCCTTTGTTCATCACTCTTAACCACCTTAAGCAGCTCATTCATGGTGGTGTGCTTATCATCTCCTTTGGATCATGATTTTGACGGTCCCGTATTACCGCCAAACTTGTTGAAATTTGGTGACGCATTTCCAAAGCTCACACTCACTCCTACCTTTCCATGGGATTCAATCTTTGTAGCAAGTTGTACAAGTTCCAAAGTAGAATTGTAAGGATACATATCCACTTGAGCCATAATACCATGCCTTAACCCTTTGAGAAACCGATACATAGTGACTTCATCATCTTTCACAAGCTGAGCCCGCATCATAAGCATCTTCATTTCCTTGTAGTACTGCTCAACCTTCTTGCTACCTTGGACTAAAAACTGAATTTTATGAAGGAGATCCATCCGATAATGCGGGGACACAATACGTGCATGCATAGCTCGAGTAAAGGCTGCCCATGTCTCAATCAGAGGCATTTCGGACCTTGCAATATCAACTTGTACTTTCTCCCACCAAACAAGAGCATACTCCTTAAACTCCACAACAGCAAGCTGAATTTTCTTGCGCTCCGAGTAATTATGACATGCAAACATCATCCCCACTTTGCTTTTCCACTCAATAAACTCATTAGGATCAATCAATCCTGCGAAAGGTGTTATGGAGAACTTGATGGACTGCATGTTGTCATCAACCTTATTAACACAACCTCGGCTCCTTCGGTCATTGATATCCTCTTCCAAGTCAAATTTATCAAGCAACTCTTTGGTAGCATCCCGTCTTCCTCGTCGTCCTTGGATAGATGTAGGCCTTGGACTAGTGTGACGGCTTTCGCCAAAATCATCAACTTGGATAGATCTCGTATTCAGTAGAACACTTGTTGAGCCCATAGGTTGCTTGCCAAGGTGAATTTCTTCACGTCTAGCATCACTATGACTTTCCCTTTCTTCAAGAGTAGCAACCTTATCGAAAACCTCATATAGTTTCTTTTCCATATTTTGATCAACCTTCCTTAACAAGGCCTCCGTATAAGCCTTTATCCGAGCATCCACAAAATCATTTATGTCATCTCGAACATGATCTACTTGACTCCGTAAGTCATGTATTTCTCGACCTTGCTAATCCACTCGAGATGTCATGCTATCCATCTTTCCGCCTAACTTGTCTTTAATATCTCGCATATCTTTGCTTTGCTTATTTATCGCAGCTAATATATTACCCAACGAAGCCATACCTGCACCAAAGAAAACTAATATATATATATATATTGAATGTTTGTCCTCACAACCCCACCTCTCGCACACTCGTGTATACCTCTTTCATAAAATGGGTGGAGTTTCCAAGCTCTTTAAGTGTGCCTTGATGGATTCGTAAAGGTGGAACCTGAGTGACGTACGCGTTGAAAATAGACAAGAAACTTTTAACACGACTCAATCAAAGAAAGTACAAGATAGTGTCAATCATACAATACAAAGAACCAAGTCGTGCATTTATAGACTAATGACCAAAAAGTGCACAATATACAAATGTTGGAACTATGTAAATCAACAAAAAAAACACTCATTCATATCTCAACAACCACCAAATCACCACAACGACTGCCCCTTTAAAAACGTGTGGAACGAATAAGACAAACACAATCTTGCCAAACTTGAAACCTCAAAACTAAATAACCAGAATCAATTACGAATTCACAAAAACTAATTTTTAAAATGTTTTCTTCACTTCACAAGCTTTCCAATGACATATTATACGCGAAAAATAGAGCTCGTATGAGAAAACTACAACTCAAACAAGATTACTAACAAAAATTGCAATAGTCCTCCCGCTCGAGTTTTTCCTTTTTTTCTGATCTTTTGGTTTTTTTTTTGTTTATGTTTTTTTTTTCACAAAAAACTTTTTTTTTTACTTTTTCACTGCAATATTGCGAGGACTAGGCAAAACAATACATCAATAATAACTCGTTACACTTCCCAAATAACATCCAACTCGAAATTAATTCAACCTCACTTCAAACAACAATGAACTCAACAACCCGCAAACTTGAAAAACTCAAACAAGAGCAAAATTGTGACACTCAAACAAGAACAAACTAGCAAAACTCAAGCAAGAGCATGAAGTGTATAATTAAAATAACTCGTCAACAAAGTCACAAAATTAAGTTCATATAATGCATGTGGACGTATGGCGCATGGTATACACTAGGGAGCATAGAGGATCAAATCATCTACACTAGAAGGCCAAACAAAAACAAAACTCGAGATCAAATTTACGTCAATGAAATGCAATAAAAAAATCAACTAAACAACTAGAGGAAATAGTAAAAAGAAAATATATCAAAAGAATATTTTTTGGAATTTTTGAAATAAAGATAGTGTAAATTGATCAAAATTCTCTAATACCAAAAGTAAATAATACTCATGGACCAAAATTGATCAACTATACAAGACACGGAATAAACTAACTAAATGGAACTAATTAAGCAAGAAAAGAACGAATTAACTAAACGGAATGAATAAAGCAAGGAAAAAGGATAATCGAAAGAAAGGCAAACCTAAGTACTAACGTAAGCACAACGCGATACCCTTCTAGCATCGAACCATCCTATATGAATTCACCACCCCGGTCATCACTTTGGAGAGCTCTTCCACCTTCCCAAATGCCACGGACTTGAGACTTTATACTCAAACCCGAATTTTGGAACTAAACCCCATGGAGCATGCAATGGAATTGCATTCCATGAAATATTATACTAAAAGAGAAAGTATTGTTATCAAGCATAACTTTCCATAAAAGGAAATGATCATAAATGATCAAATATTCATTAAAATATATTTTCTTGGTGTGTTTTACAAAACACCTTTAGGACCCTATTTATAGTAGTGGGGGAAGGGGAAAGTAGAGTGATTTTTCAATGTGAGATGAGTTTTGTATAAGTAGTCTCTCAATGAGTGACACTTAGCTAACCGTTCCCCTCCCTCCCCCCATATGCATGTGAGAGGCATGTGAGAGCTTATTATATATATAAGTGGTCCCAAGGGATGGTCAACTCCACTTGAGCATGAGCAAACCTAGGTTTGCATAATTACATATTAAACCCTCTATTTTAGCAAAATTCTAGGTTTGCATAACTTTTCCGTTAGTTATCCAATTGAGGCATTGCAAGCTCCAATGTAACCTTTACAACCACGGCATTCGCCCTAGGCTTTCCATCAAGTCCTCGCATGTTGTAACATAGTCCATCGGTTGGGCTCCAGTTATCTTATTTCTTTATCAGGCCTTGTAATTTTTCAATGCACGTTTTTGCTCGAGCTCTCGAGACTGGTCCAATTGGAATATGTGGAATTGCAAGTCCCGATCTTTGCGTATCCATGTCAGTGTGGTGCGTGATTCGTGAATATAGGCAGAATTTTTTAAACTACATGACTTGATCAAAGTGAGTTTATTTCAAAAAGATGACAGATATTACAAAAATGCATCAATGGCAGCCCGCATATTCGTCCATTTTTGTTTGGATCGGGCCGCCCGGAGGTCCTAGAAGGCTATCTTATGTTTGTGCTTTAATCACGAACGGATAGATGTATGCAATTCTCGTGTTAGGTCGGTTCGGCTCTTCATGTATCCATCGATCAGACGCCTCTCTTCTTTAATGCAGCCGCTCAAGGCGACCTATTCTCTCTTAAGTTTCTCCAATTCATTCTGGTGGCGCTCCAGTTCTCTTTGCCTTCTACTGATGTCCTCATCCAAGAAGGATTGGGTTTGGAGTAGGTTGTTCAATCGCGCGTCAGCTTGTCGGAGGTCCTTGTTGGTCTTTGACAAAACAACCTTAATTGTGGTCAGATCCGTCTCAGATGGACGCTGGGACGGCCCTACAAATGGAGTTGGGATCAAGGGAAGGTCGGCTTGAAGTTCTGTGATCCTTTCTATCAGTCAGTGGAGAACTGGAATGGCATCCGAATCAGCGGGACTTTGGACCAGCAGATCGATTATGACTTGAGTCAGAGCCTGAAGTGCTTCATAGCTCAAGTCAGGGCAAGGTAAGTTGGCGTATCTGGTCACCACTGTTCAGACAGTTGTGGGAATTCGGATCTGAGAGAGAGGCGTAAGATCAAGTCGGCTCTATCGAAATAAGGAATCTTTGAGCAAAGTTTGAAATGGATAAGACAGATTCAGAAGGTTTTTCTTTAGGGAAGACATTTACCTGGCCTGGAACGACTGTCGAGCTGGATGGATCCAGAAGTGCGGGCACAAGTAGGGGTGAACCCTAGAGCGCCTAGGCACCAACTCCTCATTCTTCTCCCGCAGGAAGAAGGCTTGGATTAACAAAATTTGGTTCTGAACCTTGTGAGGAGAAGTGGTTGAGAAAACATGAAATCTCAGGAAAGTGGAAATTGGAAGTAAACAATTAATTTACCATATTTTCTAATTTCTGGTTGATGGAAGCCTCCCCTGATTGAGATGAAGATATTTCTTCAACCACTACGATGGGAGCTTTGGGACAATTGGCCGCTGGAGGGTCGGCTCCTAGAGGTGGGTCGTTTGTTTCAAAATATTGGTGGACTGGCTCGGGGAGAGTTTGTTGTTCCCTTTCGACTTGTTGTTCGAGGAGATCGATAGGAAGGTTAACAACAATGACTTGTAGGTTAGGCGCAGCGTCAAGGGGATCACGAGTCTGCAAGATTTCTCGTCGGGTTAGTTAAAAACTTAATTGATCTGGATATAATTGGATGCTATGAATGATACCTACTGGGTTTAAAGGTGCATGAGCCAAAGTTTCAGGAAGTGGCAAGGGGGAGGAGTCTGCCTCCTAGTTGGTTCATCTTCCCGACTAATCATTGGCAATTCCCTTTGATGTGTAGCAGGTGCGGCTCCGGCGCGTCGGTTGGTGAAGCAGGAGTTTGAGTTTCAGTTGTCAGAAGAGCATGTGCCTAAAAGTTAAAAGTTGCGTGAGGAGGACATTTTAGTGTTCGGAAATATTAAGTAATGAAAATAGTCAGTTACTTGTGGTTCAGGGTCGGTAGATTGATCGGTAGTTTCGTCGGTTCGATAATAGGCAGAAGGGGGTCATCTACAAGGACGTTTGGGTTAGATAGAAATAAAATTATAGTGTTTATGAAAAATTTAAAGTAGGTCTGGCCTTACCAAAGCCGGGCGGAAGAAGGCATCGTACATTGGATGTCATCCAATGTGTATCGATAGGTAGGGAGACTAATTAGTCCTCCACTGCTTGTCGATCTACTGCAGTCATGGTGCAAACTTTGTTTGGACGGCTCCTTTCTTTTTCTTTAGTGCGCTGGGGACAACCTCGGCAGCAGACGCCCGCTTCTTTCTTGGTGCCGGCACCGAATGGGGTGAGCCTAGGGATAGTTCCGGTGCTAGAAGGAGAAACCCTATTAGCTTATCGGACGGAAGGGCTAGCAGCGTCTATATGACCGTCCACCACTCCCGGAAGGTTTCAATGGTTTGGAGGTAAGAGTTTGAAGTGATATAGGAGGAAAGATGAGTAAGATATGGTCGGATGAGTTCGGGAATGACATTCCCTTCAGGCTTTAGGTGATAAGGTGAGGTCGGGCAAGAGGACCAAGAATCAAACTGGCGTGCCAGATATTGAGGTTGGTAGTTGAAAGTATAATGGAACTTTTGACCCTTTTTATCAAGCCTCTTGTTGGAAAACAAAGACTTGGGTTTAAGGACCACATCCCATGAGAAGGGGTAAGTTGGATGAAGAAGTGGGTCTTAATATGGTAAGGAGTAATCGGTGTCAGAGTAGGGTAAAAAAAAATCGACGGCATATTGTACATAGTTTTCATAGACATAAAAATGAGAATTGCTCCTGCCATCGGAGAGAATCTATTGAAGAATTTGTTTGATGGATTTTAGATCGGACTTATGGGGACACATTTGAGGGGAAGATAGGACAAGAGAACAGTCGGCACTAGGGTTGATGGCGGACGATTTTTCCGAGGCTGGAGTCAGAACTTCTGCAGGTGTTCCCATCTCCATTGGTGTTTTGGGACTGTGTGGCTCTTCTTCTGCCATCCCTGGTGTTGTCTCTGTTGCTCTTAGAGATACCTGCAGGATAGGGAGCGTTGTTATAACTGCCTCAATCTCGGCGGTTTCATTGGTTGCTTCAGCAGTTGTGGTAGCGGGGACCTCGGCGGTTTGTTCCTTGTATGATTCCACAGTGACGTTGATTCTGCCTATGGTTTCTTCAGTGATGATGGTCTCCCGCTCCTCCTCTGGTCCAGAAGCAGTAGGCTCTTCCGCCCCCGGCTGGTTAAAGGTTACGGGTTCATTGCAATTCCAACAGCAGTTGGCTCACCTGCCCCTTGCTGGTCGATGGGGGCAGGTTCATTGCCAATTGGACTCGCTTGCTTTGGTGGCACCTTCTCCTTTGCGGGCTCCGCTGGTGAGGATCGCTGGGGCTGAGCGGTGGGCTCTCTGATAGTGATCTCCTTCCTCAGACGGGACAGCGGGATCATGTCCTCTGTCGCTTCTGCTTCCACCACTTTACTCTTCCCCTTTTCCTGCCTTGTCGCTCGCCGAGGGGGTGTTGGATTTTTTCTGAGTGCTACCTTCACCCTATGCTTCTTCTCGACAGGCTTCGGAGCGGGGTCCTCTTTCATTTTTGACCTTATCTCACCAGCGGCTGTCTCTGGGGCCTTTCCTCCCTTATCTCTCCTGGCCTTCTCTGCACCAAATAGATCCTCCTCCATCTCCCGAGCAAAGCAGAGGGCTTCTTCCTCTTCGTCAGCGGGAGTTTCATCGGAGATAGTTTGTTCCGAGTCTGGTTCTGCAACGGCCTCCTCCGGATCGACTTCGGGTGCCACCTCTTCTTGAACTATCTCCTCCCCAACGACTTTCATAGGTCTTTTTGGCAAAGGGGGAGGGATAGTTGTCTTCGCTTTCCTTCTTTTTCTATTTGGGGATGAGGGTGAACCCCTTGGACTCCAACCAAATTTTGTGGAAGGCCGCTGGGAGCAGCGGCCTCATTTGTAAGTCTGGGGCTGGAGTGGGCAGATCAACGCCCGCGCATCGGCATAGCTCTGTGATCAGGGTCCCGTGACCCAGCATTCGTTCTACTTTTTTTCTTGCCCATATGTCTATGCCGAAGATTGCGCCCAAATCAATATCAAACTTCTCCTCCAAAATTGAGCGCAAGGCAATGAGGAAATCAGAACGGATGTCTATGGTTTGAGTGGTGATCATTATTCGGCTCAGAGACCACTTCACCCATTCCTTTTTCTCTTCATCCACCGACCCGAACTTCAGGTTTCTCTTTTCATAGTCCGGGGCGGTGGCGAATTGCCTGGGTGGGATAGTGGTGTTCCCATCCCGGGACCCAGTTGATCTTCCTCACTGAGTAGTCTACCCATCTTCCCCGAACATATACATTTCGGAGACTGTCAGCTTGGCTCAGATTTGTATAAAATTCCCTCACCAGCTACACGTCCACTGGGTCCTTGCGATTTTGAATCAACCAGGTCAGGCCCCGCTCCCTCAGCCAGTCGGCGAGTGGGCCGGAGATTTTTTCGGGGTCAAATCCTCTCTCGTAGAGGATCTCCATCGCTTTCGTCTTTTCGTATGTCGCCGCTGCCTCATGTTCACAAAATGGACAGAGTCATATTGCTTGGATTTCAACACGTCCTTGGCAGCATCGGCAACGTTTTTCCTTGTGATATTTTCACTTCAGAAAGCCCTCATTCTTTCTCCTATTTCTTGGCGAGTGAATTCCTTGTCAAGCTCTTTCAGCTGGAAGTCCTTCAGCTCTTCGAAGTCAACCACCAGTCACTCACCGGGTACCTCTGGCGGCGCTGGTTCCACAAATTCAGCCCCCGAGGTTATGGTCACCACCTTCATTCCGTCTGTTGATTTCATTCTCTGGATCCTTTTCTGAAGCTTCTTCTCGACTTTCTCGAACTCCTTTCGTAAAGCTTCTCGCTTGCTTAGATCTATTTTGCTGGCTTGTTCTGAACCTAGGGTTTTTTTTCCAAATTTATAGCTTAAATTTGGGAAACTTATAAATCTTACCTTATTAGTTCTAAAATGCAAAAAATATTCACATAACAGGCAACAATTTCCTAAATCTAGGTGATTTGGACCCTAAATCCTCCTCCTCACAACGAAACAGAACACTCCAGTAAGTGTTTCGTTGCGAAAGTTGGGGGAAATCACATAACATCAATCACACATACAGACTATTGTAAAATTGATCCATACAAAGCAAGTATATAAGTTATTATATCTAAATCTAGCAGATAACATACTTAGATTCACAGAAGTTGAAGATTTATGGATTTTCGCAAAATTTGAAGAACAGACAGTTTTTTGCGAAAGTAATATTTGATTATGTGTTATTGTGCTTCAAATCAAAGAAAATAAACCATGACATCGAGTTTAGAGGCCAAGGTTAGCCTAGATCTTACCTTGGATTGAGTTAAAATTAGGTGAGGGATCGAGATTTTTGAATATTGAGTTGCGGAGAATTGGCGGTTTCTAAAGCTTCTGGAGGAAGTTACTGTAGGGTAAAAGTGGAAATAGCTGTTGACTAGGATATTTATAGGAGATACTGGCGCTCATGTAGAGGGGGTGAGTGAAGCGGTACTTAAGTCCAATGTATATTAATATAAAGGTATAAGGGAGGGTTCCAGGGCGTGTGAGCGGTTAAAGCCTGACTTCTAAATACCTATGTATAACACACAAGCGATGATGGAGGCGGTACTGGGTGAGTGATACTGCTCTTCCAATATGTATCAGGATGAAACAAGCGAAGCGATGGTTGGCTTAGGTCAGGCTTAGGTTTAGAAGTTAAAATTCTAACTATTTTACCTAAGAAAGTAATACTTAAAACATTTAAACTACTTCTAAAAAGCAATAATCCTAACTATCAAAGCAATAACAACTATTCTATAGAAAGTGATAATTAAAGCTGTAAACTCTAACTATGAAAACGGTAAAGAAAGTTGTAAATTCTCACTATGAAAGGGGTAAAGAAAGCTGCAAATTCTAACTATGAAAGCAGTAAAGAAAGCTGTAAAGTTGACATTTTCAAGATAGGGCACTTCTGAATATCACTTGTAATTCTATCACCGAATGAGTTTCTGCACCTCCACCAGATTAATATCTGCATTGGCCCGCTGCAAAATAGGCCCTTCAATATATAGTTTCAGTCTCGCTCCATTGACTAGGAAGGAGTCACTATCCCTAGGGTTGTCCACATTATTGATTCTTATGGCTCCACTTGGCAGAACTTGTCTAACTATATATGGTCCAGTCCACCGTGATCTTAATTTCCCTGGGAATAGGTGAAGCCTAGTATCATATAATAGAACCTTGAATCCCACAGTGAATTCTTTCTTCTTCAACTTCCTCTCGTGATAGAATTTCATCATTTCTTTGTAAAGTTTTGCGCTTTCATATGCAAGGTATCGAAACTCAATTAGATCGAACAATCATTCCACGCGCTTCTCCTACGCGGGAAGAAGATCAAAATTGAGATATTTGATGGCTCAATACGCGCGATGTTCGAGTTCCAGAGGTAGATGGCTGGCTTTTCCATACACTAGTCTGTACGGGGACATTCCAATTGGAGTTTTGAAGGGTGTTCTATATGCCCACAGCACATCATTCAATTTTTCTGCCAAATTCTAATGACTCTTATTCACTGTGGTCTGGAGGATATGCTTGATTTCTCTATTCGAAACTTCCACCTGACCGCTTGCTTGTGGGTGATAGAGGGTAGTTAGATGTTGGCGAACCCCATACTACTGAAGGCAACGCTTCCCCCACTCTTATAAATAGGACCCTAAAGGTGCTTTGTAAGACACACCAAGCAAATATATTTTAATGAATATTTGATCATTTATGATCATTTCTTTTTATGGAAAGTTATGCTTGATAACAATACTTTCTCTTTTAGTCTAATATTTCATGGAATGAAATTCCATTGCATGCTCCATGGGGTTTAGTTCCCAAATTCGGGTTTGAGTATAAAGCCTCAAGTTCATGGAATTTGGGGAAGATGGAAGAGCTCTCCAAAGTGTCGACCGAGGTGGTGCATTCGTAGAAGATGGTTTGATGCTAGAAGGGTATCCGGTCATGCTTACTAATACTTACTTAGGTTTGCTTCTCTTTCGATTATCCTTTTTCCTTGTTTTATTCATTTTGTTTAGTTAATTCGTTCTTTTATTGCTTAATTAGTTCTATTTAGTTTTTTGTTCTTTCTCATTGTTTATTAGTTAGTTTTTGTTTAGTTAGTTTATTATGTGTCCTGTGTAGTTGATCAATTTTGGTCCATGACACACGCCAATCACTTGCACACTTAATCACCACAATATGAAATCCAAACCTTCAACCATAAATATGTCATACCTTGCAGTAGACAGTTTATACCTTCAACTTTCAAACTTCTCCCATCATAATGTCTTCACCACGTATCCGTGTTCCGTTCAACAACTGGAAAAATTCATTGCAACCTTTCCTAGTCGGACAACATCCTGTTAGTTGCCATGCTGAGGATCTAATACAAGTACTCAAGCAACTGGACTTCAAATTCAAATTCTCCCAGAGAAGTAGAAGAACCATGCATCGTGTGATTTGTCTAATGGAATGCATCACCACTAGGTGCGAGACACTTATGGTGTGTTCTTTTATGAGATTTGACCATATTTTCACTATTCATCATTTTTTTCCAAAAATATCAAATCAAATACTTATTTTTTATTTTTTATATTATACTAAGAATCAATTTTACACTTAAATCATCACATGAATACCTATTTATATAACATCATACCACTATTCCAATTCAAAAATTTTACTATTCAAATCTCAACTCAAAATCCAAACCCCCAAACAAATACACCCTTAGAGATATCCTCAGTCGTATGCTTGATCTCGACCATCACTCTGATAGAACACCATGTCATGGAGATTTTACCAGACCTCAGTTGGAACAATGTGTTTTCCCAACATAGAGCATTTTTCGCCCGACTGCGTGTTCTTGTGGACCAAGGGCGTCAATCCTTACAAGACATAAAAGTCCAAACCGAACAAGATCTGGAAAAAATGCAAGAACAATGGGATTGGTACCGACCTGAACTTGAAGACCTTTTGGTTGAAGAACCAGAGTTGGTGTCCACCGGCTGGGATGGGGATTCTGAATCAGAGAAAACAAACCATCCTTGCATCACCCTTTCAGATAACGAATAAACCCTTTATGGGTTAGAACCCTCCGTGGGTTATAAAATGATTTAGATTAAGCAGTTAGCTTTTGTGACCTGAAAAGACAGGATAATACATTTTCAAATACTTGACATTGATGCTTTCATATACTAATTTTCCCTCTTGATCCATAATAATAAATGCCAAGTTTCCAATTTTCTTGTAAATAACAAAAGGTCCTCCCCAATTGGGAGACCACTTCCCCAATTGATAAATCTTCTTGTAAGTTGGAAATATGGTCTTTCAAACCAGATCTCCTTCTTTGAACGTCATATAAGAAACCTTTTTTCCAGAGTATCTAGCCCGTATTTCATTATGCTTAATCATCGGATCAACCACCTTTAATCGGTTGGTGTCCAGATCCTTTAATTTCTGCATCATGCTTTGTTGATACTCTTTATTGATATCCAAAGAAGTACTGCTGTGCAAGCTGACGACACACGAAACTCAGCCGGCAACACATCATCTTGTCCAAATGTGATTTTATATGGTGAAAACCCTGTAGCCGAACTCCTGCTATTTGATATGCCCATAGAACTTGGGTAAACAACATATTCCATTTCCTTGGATTTTCATCAATCATCTTCTTGACAATACCGATAACAATCTTATTTGCAGCTTATGTTTACCCATAACTTCCAGC